CACAATTATTTGAAATCTTTGGACTAAGTGTATAAATTTTTTTATTTTTTTTTTGCTGATTTAGTAGGGCTGTTTCGAATAATTGAAATTCTATTACATGTTAATAAAAATAAAAACCACAACGTCATAACTAAAATGCTGGGGCTACCACCATCCGAGCCCCTTTCGTTAACTAAAAATTCAATGACAAGCAATTTATAATTAGAGCTGCCCTAACGTAAAAATTCAATGGCACGTGATCTTCTCTCTCTAAAAACAACAACATTATCTAGCAAATATGTTAAATCCTTGGCCAGCAATCTCCCACGTTCAAAAGTAAAGGTTTAGGATGGAGCTTCTATAGGGCCTAGGTTTTATGAAAATAAAATAAAAGCTTTATCTCAAATCTTTATTTAGAAAGCATTTTCGGCATCGAAAATCTTTACTATGGTTTTCAAATCAATTTTTAGTGTTGACGTTTAAATTTGAAACTTAAAAAATAGTAACATTTATTTGCAGTGTGAAATAAAGAGTCGAGATGATTTGTTGTAATATATATTATTTTTAAAATTTAAAATTTTAATTTTTTTTACGACATAAGGATTTAAAGGTCTTCTCGGAAGGAAAATAGGATGTTTGTCAGTAAATTAAGGTACAGAAATTGGGCCGTACTCAAAGTAAGTTTGAAGGGCAATTCTTGTAATATGAAGAAAATGGTATTTGAGAGAGAAAGTTTCTCTCTCTAGCACCAACACCTGCTCTTTTAATCGTTCTCTTATTAATTTTGTTTGATAATCCGTACTATTCTTCTTCTTTACCATTCCTTCTTCTGCAACCATTCTCACTCTTCCTTTTCTTCATTCCCTCTTGTGAGCAAAACACACGCGCTCTTTCTTTCTTTCTTTTTCTCTCTCTCTGGGGAGCCCAACTCATTCTCAATCAGCGGGAGAAGAAGAAAGCCATGACCCATCTTCGATTTTCAGCAGCTTCATGTAAAACTCGCATTCCTATATGCATCTCTTCCCATGTAGTCAAGATTTCACCTCATTTTCGCCTTACCCCAATGGGGTTTTTCTCTCTCTCCACAAAAAATCATAGTCATGGATTCTCTGGTTTTGTTCTCAAGACCAGCAACCAGAAATGGCTACAAATTGGGTTGAGTTCTATGAAATTCAAGTCACTATTAGCTTCGAAACGCAGCAATGGAGGAGAACCAGGGACCATCATTTCTGGGTTCTCGGGGTCACTCCTGGACTTGGATGGAATGAACCCAGAGCTTTATGAAGCCATTGAAGAGCTCGAACGCATGGACAGAGAACCATCAGACATTCTGGAAGAGATGAGTATGAAACTCTCGGCTCGGGACCTGCAACTTGTCCTAGTTTACTTCTCTCAAGAAGGTAGAGATTCATGGTGTGCCCTCGAAGTTTTTGATTGGCTTCGTAGAGTTAATAGGGTGGATAAGGAGACCATGGAGCTAATGGTCTCTATTATGTGCCTCTGGCTTGCTAAGCTCATTGATGGGGATCACCCAATTGATCAGCTGCTTGACCTCCTCCAGGAAATGGACTGTGTTGGATTGAAACCAGAGTTCTCCATGATTGAGAAGGTCATCTCTCTCTATTGGGATGGAGGTAAAAAAGACCAGGCGTGTTCTTTTCTTGAACTGGTTATTCAACGTGGTTTAGCAAAACCCCAAGACCAGAACGAGCAGGGGCCTACTGGGTATCTAGCTTGGAAGATGATGGTTGATGGAGATTACAGAGGAGCTGTAAATTTGGTTATTGAGCTCACTGAGAAAGGGCTTGAACCAGAGCTCTATAGCTATGTAATTGCCATGACTGCGCTTGTGAAGGAACAGAACGAGTTCTCGAAGGCTCTTCGAAAGCTTAAGACCTCACAAAAAAAAGGATTGATAGCCCAATTTGGTGAAGAAGAGTTGTACTCTCTTGAGAATTACCAGTTGGGTCTTCTTAGCGATGGTGAAAAAATCTCTAATAGGGTCATTAATGGCCAAAACGTACGTTTTATAGGAGTAATTCATGAGAAACTTTTGGCCTTGTATAGTTGTGCAGGAAGGGGAGCTCAAGCTGAGCACCATTTATGGCAGATGAAGCTTGCTGGTAAGGAGCCTGATAGGGAGATGTATGCTATTGTCATGGCCATTTGTGCCTCTGAGAATAACAAAGCAGCTGTTTTGCGGTTAATGGCAGGCTTGGAATCTCTAGGGTTCTCACCAAGAAAGAAGACTTCGACTTGGCTTTTAAGGGGGTATTTGAAAGGAGGCCACTTTGTGGATGCTTCAAATACTTTGATGAATATGCTCAATAAAGGTTTTCGCCCTGAGAATGTTGACATAGCAGTGGTTTTGCAGCGTTTGAGGAAGAGTATACACGACCCTGGTAATGTCGAGCTCTATCTCAAGCTATGCAAGCGTCTATCTGAAGCTGATCTCATTGTGCCGTGTCTTGTTTATTTGTATGTACCTGAATTGAAACTTTGGATTATGAAGATACTTTGAATCTTTCAATATAGAGAGAGCTTTGTGAGCAAGTTTGAGCAGCCAACAGTGGATGAAATTACTAGGTCGAAGGGTTCTGGACCATGACTGCGAGGCCACCTAGTCATGTAGAGCTTCTTGATAGGTGTTTTCTCTATAAACTGTACAGTGAAAGATAGTTGAATATCAAACTATACAATAGGAGAGAAGAATAGTGTTTGGTGAATGAAGAAGCCCAAAACCTGGCTTTCCCCTTTTCGGGTTTCTTGTGATGTGGTGTTATCTAAAATTCACCAGTATTTTGGGCAGTTGTTCAAATTACAAATGATGTGCTGTGGCATAAAGATGGATTTTGGTGCACCAAAGGGGCAGGGGGTTTGAATTTGTATATTGTGTCAACATGGCGAGGAATGCTTGGTCAGAACTTGAATTCTTTCAAGTCTGTGGATTTGGCTATCTACATACTCCTGTAAGTTTTCACAACAAGCTTGGTTGATTCTATTCCGAAATTACTTAGTTATTGGAAAGTATGTTGTTAGCCTTCTTTCCTTGGGGATGTGTATGAATGTTGTCTTTTATTTTTTTTGTTGCAAGGGAATTGTTGATACTTCTGTCCCAAATGCTCATTCATGTCTTTCTGTATTAAAAAGAAAATAGTGAAGCACACAAAACAAAATGCAACATGGATATTATATTTTCAATGTTTATTTGTCCTCTATCATTGTATCTTTTCAACCATCAAAAGAAAAGAAACAAGTGTCTCGTTGTATTACCGTATCCGTTTTTTGCATGAGCCTGATCCTAAAATGACTAGTGGACTGACTATTTTTTAATTTTTTGGGTTCGGGGATGGTAAGTACTGTTGCATACCATGAATTGTACTCTTACATTGTTTGAATTGCTAATTTGTTATTTATTTGATGGCTTATGCGGTCTTACATGAGCTGATTGCTTATGCGATCTTACATGAGCCTTTGGACTGAAACTCCATTCTTTGAAGCATGAGGAGAACCATGCAAGAGAACTATAATAATTAAGATATTCAGCCATTAACGAAGAAGCCACAAAACTTGTAAGCAGGGTTCAAAGGGATGAACTATGAAGAGGGTAGTTTGGGAGCATTGAAAGGTACCAGGGATGACTCCTTCAGGAGCTATACCATTCTCAAAGAGACTGATTTTGGAGGGTAGCTTTTCAGTTGGGGTTCAGTGCTCTCAGTTGCTGGTGTTATTATAGAAATTTTTTAATGGTGGGACCCGTGGAGGCATAGGCTTCTCTAATGTTCTCATTGCATTTGTTAAATTGTTGTATTGATTGAGGATCAAGGTTACTTGTGGAGAGTGTTATTTGAACATTATTTTTACTTCGCTTACAGCAAATGAGACATTCACGATTAAATGGTTTGAGTAAGTATAACGGGAATGGACCTGCTTCCGAATAAGTTGTGATAGTTCTCAATGAAATATTTCTCCATTGTGTCATTAGGGGTTTATGATTCCCTGGATTACTACTTGGTGCTAGTGACCTTTTAGGCTGTTTGCAAATGTGTCCATACCATGAGGCAAGATCATGAAGTTTACTCAAAATTGTGGGGAAGTTCATGTAGTTCCATCTTTGCTGAAGTGGTTGACCTAGTGGTTGCTGGGGATATGTAGAGGGCTTTGGTTGGCCTATGGGACCCCACTTGGGACACTGGATGGAAAAGCATCTGTTTAGGGAAGGAAGTTTCCCCACATGGAGGGATGAACTATAACTCATGGTTTAGGATTTCCATTTACTTCTGTTTGAGTTGTGGCGTTTTTGGATGTCTGCAACCGTCGTAGAGTGGGGGGCAAGAAGGCAGGTTCTTGCCTTAGGTACTTCATTTCTACTCAATGTTCTATAGTTCTATTCTTGTGGTACACCACTTTTGTTTGTAAAACATATTATGTTAAGTAGTACATGGAAATTCACAAATAGAGTACTGCATATCTAGCAATTCTTTCATTTTATTGTGAAAGCAAGTTCCCTTGGAATGCAATATTACTGCCATTGCTCACGGGATAAGTTCTTCTTGGGTAAAGTTCTGCAGTCGCTGCAAAGTATTCTTTTACCTCTTGTTAGGTTTATGGTTTACCCACGACAGATGCCACCCTAGCACTTCATTTTGCTCATTATGTCCATGTCTAACATTTGGTACTGCATGCCACTTGTCAATAATAGAATTTTATTATGATTTTAGTTACTAATACTATGATAAATTATGTTTATGATAATTTATATGTCTATTTAAAGTTTACTATGTATTGTGACTCGAACTTCTAAATTTTTTTCTTGTGGACTTAAAAAGAAATAAATTTTATACACATGAATGTAAACAATGTATTATACATTTACAAAACCATATCATGGAACTTAACGAAAATTTTATTCAAAAGTAATACTATCACAATAAGTTATTCTTTGGATGTATTTTATTGTATTTTATTTGGAATATGAGAAATACATATGATACCTAGCTTCATACTTAATTCAGTTTTAAAAACATTGCCATGTTAACATACTTTGTTGTTGCTGTCTCATAAACCAACATCCATCTTGATGTCCATGTCACACTGTTCAAACTTGCATGCTCATACTAATTCTCTTGGTTACATAGCTATTGTCAAGCTTATGATGCTTAGTTTCAAGCTTCATGCAACTGTGGAGTTTCACTTTTCAACTCCAGTTCCTTGTTTAGTTCAACATCCCAAGACCAGACATATTATGCTTTCCATGTGGTGAGCCAATTCATGGTGGCAACTACAAACTGCATGAGTTTTCTCTCTGTTTCTCTCTTTCTTTTTCTTTGAATAAATCTACTGCATGAGTTTACAACATCCTTGAAGTGGATATTGTGTTTGATTCCCATTTCGTGAGCCCCTTCTTATTGGCAAGTAAGTCTCCAGCAAGTGTTCTCAAAAAAAAGAAGAAGAAAAAGTCAGTTTCCAGCAAGCATAGTTTTAAAACTCGGCTGATGCCACTCGGACTTGGCTGAGTAACTCGGCATTGCCCCCCTATAGGCGAGGCGAGTTTTGGGCGAACAGACTGTACAACATTTTAGTAAACGTTATGTATCTTAATATGTCAAACTTAAGTCATTCATGTTTGAAGGGCTTCATGGTTAGTATGGGGCGCGTGAACCTCATTGTATTGCAAGGTTGAATCCCGCGATCGGCTGGTGGAAGCCTATTTTTAAACTTTTTCGTTTTTGTTTTATACGATAGAAGTTATAAAAAAATGCAAAGAACCGAACCCTCAATGTGTTGTAAAGAAGAGGCTCAATGTCACAACATAAACTAGGCGCCATTAGCAGTTTACTGTTCAAAGGAAGCCCACTACTTATAGCTATTACATTTTTTCTTCATTTTCTTCACAAAAAAAATTGAGTTGGACTCGGGCGGGTTACTCGACTCGCCTGAGAAAATCGGCTCGGCCAGGTGCCAAGTACCTTGGCCGAGTCGATTTGTTTAACATTGCCAGCAAGTGTTTATCAGAGGATCTGTCATCCATGTGCATGGCTAATCATGGGTGTTATTGTCATCATCATATTCTTTGCCTCCTATTGCTTATTCATATATTTTGATTGAAGATGGTGCCCTGTTACTTGTCACTCATGCAATGTGTCTGTTCATGTGCAAGTCATTGTTTTCTTGAAAGAGTAAAACATAAAGGATGAGGTTAGCATGCAACCAAGCCTGCACATGTACAAATGCGGGCTTGGCAATAAATATATTTTTTAAATATAGTTTGATCCTAATTTTTAGAGAATATATAATCTTTAACATGGAGATCATGAATATGAAAAAATAAATAAAATTTGAAAACTAGAAATAGTAATTATATTACGAAAACATTTGGATCGTTAGTTACAATTGTTTTTAGATGGACCACCTATTTGCATCCACTTTTAAGATGGATGCTTTATACCTCTGGACCGTATATTGTACAATTGCGGTCCAGCCCGCTTGAAACAATTGTTCAAACATAAATCACATTTTCTACATTTAATGTTGGATAGCATGTTTTATCATGTACAACCAGAGAAATTGGTTTGCTTAAAAGAATTTTAAATATGATTTGATCTTTCCTCTTCTTGGAATATACCTCTTTATTGTGATAGCAAAAGTTCCCTTCAAATTACTAGGCTGTAGTTACCTTGTGATTGTATCCCACTTCATACTGGAGAGTCTTTTGGATCACCTCCCTCATATTTCCTCCTTGTGAATCATCAATCATCATCATCATCAAAGACTTTTCCTAGACTATTTGGGGTTGGCTACACGAATCGTCATTCTACTCTATCAAGGGTCATACTCTCAATGAAGCCATTAATTCCCATATTTTTTCTCTCTACTTCCAACTATGTCCTTTTGGGCTGATCCCTTTCCCCTTTTTGAGCCTTCCACTTGAACTAACTCGCACTTCCCAACAGGTACTGTATTGGGTTTGTGTTGCACATGATCAACTCACCTAAGCCTACTTTCTCTCATCATATCACCTATTGGTGCCACACCGAAGTTTTTCGAATGTATTCATTTCGAATTCTATCCCTTCTTGTCTTGCCACTCATCCACCTCAACATCCTCATCTCAGCTACACTAATCCTATGGGTACATTGCTTCTTGACCACCCAACATTCTGCCCAATAAAGCAAAGTTGGTCTCACAACTTTCCTATAGAACTTGCCCTTCAGATTCATTGGTATGCGGCAATCGCATAAAACTCCGATTGCACATTTTCATTTCACCTACGCAGCTCTAATTCTATGTGCGGCATTTTCCTCAATCTCTTCATTTTCCTGGATTATTTCAAGTTCTTAATACCAAGTTTTGCCTCAATCTTTTGTCATCACATCAAAAGGCGGGAACGTGAGAGCATACAATTTTTTAGGGAGAGAGGAGTATCTTGTGTTATTTATTTATTTATTTGTTTGTTGTTTATTAGTGGAAATTTAGGTCTTGTGGTCAACAATTTTTTTGTTGGGGATGCTTGAGGTTTTTGTTTTTCATTGGTGTCAGAAAACTCACCCAAGTGGCTTCAGAATTAGGCGAGTCACTCGGGCTTGGCGGCCTGTGAGCCCGGAATAGCCCCATATATATTAGGTGTATAGTACTCGGGCTATAGACATGCCCAAGTACTATCAAAACATGGGCTCACTCACCCGAGTTTTCAAGTACTCGGGTGATTTGCTATAGTACTTCGGTGAGTATTACACTATGGCGTTTAAGCAACCCCTCTCTTTTCTCCTCCAACACCCAAAAAAATTAAAAATAAAATAAAATGAAAAAATCAAAAATAAAAAAAGAAGGAAAAACCCCCTCCCCCTTGCCCCCTCTCTTTTCTACCCCAACACCCCACACCCCAACATCAAAAAGAAAAAAAAAAAAAAAAGGAAAGAAGAAGAAGAAGAAAAACCCACCGAAGAGGGGGGGAGTGATGTTGGGGTTTGTGAGAAGGGGAATCCGTCCCCTTTTTTTCCTGCATTGTTTTTATTAAGAGAGGCCCTAGGACAACAATTTCAGTTGAAATTTCACCCATTGACTAACTTTTGCATGATCTATTTACTAGATATATCAGATTTGAGAAGAAAAATCAATTTTGACGTATTTGAGAGATTGAAGATTTCGACAAAAATTTTACTTGATTTTGAAAAGTTGCGATTTGTTCGCAATAGTTAGTTGATCTTTGATTAAATTTGTTCCCTAAGTCTAGCTTTTGGTTCTTCATTTAACCTTCTCACAAAAAATAAGGATTTGCAAGATTCAAATTCGAGTTTACTATTCATTCAAATTTTCAAGAGGCCGGATCATCTAGAACCGAACATGAAACTCAAATTTTGGTTTGGCGGCTTGTCCAAGGAAACTTTGACAAAGATTGGAGGCATCAAATGACACTAAGCATGAAGATTGGGGGATTGTTCTCAATATCTGGTAAATTTCATTTTTCCAAATTAAAATTCATATATTTATTTTACAAAAGTAGTTATAGCTGATTTATAGCAAACAATGGATATACTTCTTTTTTCTTTATGATTTTTAATGCATCTTTTTTTTTTTCCTCATTTTCTGATGAAATGGTTTTTAATTGATTTTCCATTTTTCGTTTTTAATCGACAAGGGTATGTGTGTCGGTGTCTAACCTGGGTACAAGGTTCCTCATGCCATGAAGAAGAGGATTTGATGACATGACCATTTTATGAAGAGAACAGCCCAACAATGTTTTAGTAGTATTGCATTTCGTGATGAGAACGAGATAATCAATTATTCCTTGATTGGCTGCATTTGTAGATAATTTGGACGTTTCACTGACATTTTCAAATTCGTGTGTCTACTCGTAAGAAAAATGAAGATCAAAGCTCTAAATGTAATCAATAGTTAATAAGCAAGAAGAATAATCCAAAAGAATATGTGCTGGTATGTCAGTACATGTGTTGAGGCATGTCAGACACTGTTCAGGCACCTAAACAAAAGAATCCATATAACATAGCATGAGGATGAGAGTGAGACCTAGAAAGATTCATACTTGATAGAGGTCCTGTACAGAGATTTGAAAAAGAGTATGACCTTTAGCAGAACCCATGAACCCATGAAGACTGCTACTTAACTATGAAGCTTGAAGCGTTCATGCTCGTGGACTACAGTCACAATTCAGTGTGGATAAGCATAGGTGGAGTGCTGTTATTGGTGCTCTCCTTTCTTTGTGATTGGAAATTTGTTGGGGCCAAGGTCTTGCTCGATCTTGGGTTCGTGAAAGTTATCCAAAAGCTAAAGTTGGCCACATTATTCATGTGTTGTAAAGATTATCAAGATCCACTGCCTAAGGTGTGCTACATGACAAACAAAATTGCTGGCAAATGGCTAGTATGAAGTTGAAGATGTCAATGTTTTGGAAGATGGAATGTCCAGATGTGAGAAAGAGTCGAACACCATTTAGATTGGTAGGCAATGCATGTACATAATTCAAGTTTAAGGAAGGATGTTGGAAATTGAACTTGATTTCTATGGAATATTTGATTTGAATTGGGAACTTATCCTGTGAGGTGAGATCTGCTGTTATTTGTTGGTAACTTTGGATTTCATAGTTAGATTAGGATGCGTTTGTATGTGATATTTTACCACATATTCCACCCCTTCTCTCCACATCAACAAAATTGTGCCAAAAACTACCCCCAAATCTTTCATATTGTAGAAAACATTTTTACTGCCTCCTTCTTGTAGAGGGGAAAGGTTGCACTTTCATCTTGTAGAGTTTTTATATCTAATTATTTAAATTTGATAGATGACATATAATCTAAACTTATAAGAGGGTTTCAGATTAACCTTGGATCCTTATTTGGTCTCTATTTACTGCAAGATAAAGGTATATAGAAGCACAAATCTGAAAGTCGTACGTACTGATTTACGTATTAATATTGCTGTACATGAATAATAAGAATCAAATCATCAAAATCAACATATCATCAAAATCACCATCACTTGCTTTTCTGATTTTCTACACTTCAATTATAGAGATTTTAGGGAAATAATCAATGTTATGATCAGATAATCCCTGATCATAACCCTGCTGATTGTTTACATTTCCATAGAAACAGAGAGAATGTCGAGGGACCTTTGAGACTCATCTACCTCTTCTCCTCTGTGTCTCCCTCTTTTATTTGAATCTTGCTGCCTTTTCTCCATTAGCGGTTTGATTGGACTGTTAAACTTTCGTGGCTTATGCAGACTAAACTTGTCCCGTGGAAAATATGTAAAGGCCCTTGATAGTTTTTTCATGTGGGGAATTCAGAAAATTTTAAAGGAGAAGTATGGATTGCACATGGATCAAACCAAGCGAAAGAAATTTAAAATGACCTTGTGCATCCTTTCTTTTTAAGCAAAGAACGCATGTGCATGTTGGGGTGCTGTATTTCTTAATCATGTATTATAATGATTCATACCGCTGTTGGAAAAATAGATCTAACCACCCGGTTAGATTGGAACCAGTCCGATTCCGGTTTTGGGCCAAAAATAAAATAAATGTATATAAATTCCCAAAAATAAGAAATTTGGTTTATAGTGTATTTTTTAAAATACACTATGGTAAAGATTTAAAATTATTTTGGTTATTAATATTCACTTTAATTAAAAAATTGATTTGTTAAAAGCCATTTTTTTTTGTTAATTTTCAACTTCATTTGAATGTGTTTTGTTTTAATCATTGTTTATATGTTTTTTATTATTTTAGTAGATTTTTTTTTGTATCTTTTTAATTTTTTCATTACTTTTTTTATTGCTCGGTATTTGTCCGGTTAGAACGGTTGAATCGATCTATTTATTGGTTAGGCCGGTTAAACCATTTTTGGGCCATGTCCGGTTAACCGTTTCGATTTGATTGTGAACATTGATTCATACATATAGTCTATATGTGGAGAGCGAGTGATTAAAGGAGTCTATTGGGTTTTTGTTGTGCACGGATGGTCTAATTACATTAGGCGTGGCAATCGAATCTAGTAAGCAGATTGGCCTAACGGGTCGGGCTCAATGTTTGGACCTGGCAGGTTGGATCCAACCTAATTTTCCAATTTGCCTCTACATTCTCTCTCTAAGATTTTCTCTCTCTACACACAACCCAAGGGCTCTCTATACCCCCTTAACCCTTTCTTTTATTACATTAGGCGTGGCACTCGAATCCAGCCAGCAGATTGGCCTAACGGGTCTGGGTCAATGTTTGGACCTGGCGGG